CCGGGCGGCCGTGAGGCACTGCGGCTTGTGAAGGCAGCGTTTTTCCTCTCCAGAAGGGAGTTTCTGCCTCTTCTACCTCAGTTAGGATTGTCCGTTGTTGCAGGAGTTCCTCTTATCCAGTTTTCAGTTCTGTCTCAGGGGTAATTTTCCCACAAGTAGTTGTAAACTGGCTGTGTCCGCGGGAGGAGGTGAGTTCAGAGTCTGCCTACGCTGCCATCTTGACTTCCCCACAGGTTTATTACTACATACAAAGTAACATGCAGCCTATGATCTCAATTACAACTTTAAACTAATGTTGGACTCTGTTTTTTGGTTTTTTTGGTGAGGAAGATTGGCCTTGAGCTAACATCTGTTGCCAGTCTTCCTCTTTTTGCTGAGGAAGATTGGCTCTGAGCTAACATCTGTGCCCATCTTCCTGTATTTTGTATGTGGGATGCCGCCACAGCATGGCTTGATGAGCAGTGTGTCGGTCTGTGCCCGGGATTCGAACCTGCAAACCCCAGGCCACTGAAGCAAAGCGTGCAAACTTAACCACTATGCCACTGGGTTGGCCTCAAGTTTGGATTTTATTTGGAACTTATAATTTTCTATTCATATGCTATATTTTATCTTCCTTGTATTGAATTTTTATTTCAGCAATCATTTTTAATTTACAGGACTGCTTTTTTGCTTAGTGCTTATTCTTTTTCATACTAAACTACTCTTGCTTTGTGGATATGATATACTCTTTTTTGGAAGATAGTTAGCTTTTTTTCCTTTTGTTCTCTGCTTGTCCCTTTCCTTTGTATTTTTGCCCCTCCTTGTTAATTGGGCCCCTCTTTTTTATTTTGGGGTTTTCACCAAGTGTCTAGTGGTACTTGGCTCTTATATATGGTGTTGATTTTTGGCTGGTGGTCTTCACTGTAGGCTCATTAAGAGTTTAGCCAAATTTTTCACTAGAGTCTTTTAATTGTCAGTATTCAGAGGCAAAAATTTGGTCAAATTATCACCTGCAGTAACACGGAAGACAGAAAATGTACCTAATGCACTCATGGCATTGGGTGAGATTTTGAGGCAGAATTTCGAAAGAATAAACTGGCTACTATTAGCTGCAATTGATAAAGTACTATAAGAAAGAGACAAGCTCAAAAATAAGGAGGTGGGTCTGCAAATGGAATTGAAAGGGAATATATAGCCTAGGCTGGAAAATGAAATTGTTTTTCACCAAAAGTGTGATCGTTAAATACAGCCTTAGGAAAAGACCAAATACAGGGTACTGCCATTACCATAGGCCTCAAGGAAAAGACCAAATAAAGGGTGTAACTATACACTCATTTTTTAAGACCTCTGAAGGGATTAAGGGGATGCCTTTCAGCTGAACCAAAGTGCTACTAGAAAGATTAAACGAATGAGAAGCTTGATGTGCTCAAGACATACACGTCTCTACAAACTAAGTCATGAGTACTTTGAGCATCTCAGGCTGAACTAGTTAGTGACTGTTCCTCTAATCCTCTTCTGCTGCAGTCTTCCAGACCCTTACTCCTCCAGCAACTCCCAGATTTGGGTAAATCCTAATTCCTTTATTAAATCTCTTTAGTCATGCAATATTTGTAATGAGTCTGCTTTCCTCACCAAATCCAGACTAAAACACCTGGCTTCTCTAGAAAAGAGAGACTGAGGCAAAAACTAAATCTATTATTTTATTAGAAGGGGCAATCCAGGCTGGTGAGAGTGAGGAAGAATGAAAGTAGGGCTAGCAAGGATGGGAAGCAAATGCACATTGATAAATTACTGTATAGTACTTGGCTTGTTTCATGAAAAGCCGTGAAGAGATACTGCCAATCATTTGGCAAGTACACTTGCTTAGCTACATGGCACATCTCTGGGCAAGAGGGTGAAAAACTGTGCCTCAAAACAATCAATCAGTTGATCCAAGTTTTCCAGACAGATAGTTAACTTCACTGCTCGTCCAGACTGCATCATCTAGCCTTTTTGACAGTCACTGGGGAAACCCTGTGGCATGGTGCTTCCTGGAGTCCAGAAGTGTTGGGATGGGCCAGGAATTCTGAGCATGTGGCTAGTTAACCTCAGGCAGAGGAATCATACAAGCCTGCCAGTAGTCTGTCACTATGTAGGCTGGTAGCTACGGCAAAGCAAGTGGTTGGTGGCCTGGAAACAGTGAGACCAAGAATCTAAGAAGGCCCTTGAGGAAGGTATGTCTAATACTGTATCCAAAGATGAGATATCTATTGGCACAATAATGCTGTATAATAAACAGCTATAAATCTTCAGTGGCATAATAGATATTCCTTGCTCACACATCTGGAATCAGCTAGGTGTCAGTTAGATGGCTCTGGTGATCTTGGCTGGGATTGTTCACATATCTTGGGGTGCTATCAGCCAATCCAGACAGGATTCAGCTAGGGTAACCAGAGTAACTTGGCTCTGCTGCATGTATGTCTCACCCTCCGGCAGGCTAACTCTGGCATGTATGTGTGTATGGTGACAGCAGAAGCACAAGAGTAAGTGGAGATACACTAGATCTTTGGAAATACATATGGCTGAGAATCAGAGTGAGAGGGTACTTCAAAGGGGCATGAAAAAGGACCATGAATACAGGGAGGAGTAAAGAATTAGGGCCATTTTTGCAGTCTATCATACCAAACAAAAACAAGTACAGACAATTCATTGTTCTAACAGGTATTATTATTGTTTTTTGGGAAGAACTTGAGATTTTATCTGGCCTTAGTTGTAAATTGGGCCCTTATGAAGTGTGTGGGTCATCCAGCTGTGAGATGGGGCAAATGAGTAACAGGATTGTTCTGTTTCTTTTCCTCTCCTTCTTAACTGTTGTTTAGTTGGTTTGTAGAGCCAGTTAAATGGCAATTGATTTTGGCTCAGGGAAGTCCAAATTTTAGCCCAGAGAAATCCAACTTTGGCCCTGCTTAAATCAATTCAGCCCTTCCTCTGTTCCCAGGGCCAAGTTCTAAACATGAAGAAATCCATTTTAATTCTATTCTCGTAAAATAATTGCTAAATAGGCAAGCCAGTTAGTTCACCTGGCTAAGACTAAGAGGCTAATAATGTTCAAACCTTATACACATTCCTTTTTATGAATAGCATAATAAAATGGTGACCTTGCTAAACCAAATCAGAAGTCCCAGATTCTAGACCCGGTTCTACCACTAACTAGTTGTGTGACCTTTGACCTTTGGACAAGTCACTTAATCTCTTTAGATCTAAGTTGCCACATACATATATTCAGGGACTGCTCTAAATTACAATGTATCAAAAACCCTGTTTCCACAGGATGTTAGTAGGTGTTACTTATTCAAATAAGTTTAAGAAATACTAGCTTAAATAAAGTTCAAAAAGTTTATTCCAGGACTTTTCAGCACTTGTATGCTGTGCCTTTTGAATCTCTAAGAGGGGAATATAATGTGCGGCAAACAAATTTCACCAATAACTCGTTTTTTCATAAAATATGTTATGTGTCCCACTGAATATACTTTGGGAAATGTACTGTTGCTTCTAGCATCCACATGGGTGAATTTATCAGTGTGGGTCCCAGAAAGAAACAAAGGGCAACTTGAAACAGGGATATTTGAGAAGAGTATAATAAAATGACTATTTACAAAGGTATAGGCAGGGTTTAGGGAAACCAACACGCGGTAATGGACTACCGTGGGGCAGATAACACCTGGGAGCCTTTACTCCCCCTAAGTGAGAAGGAAGGTGTAAAGGGAGGGAGCACGGACCTTAAATTAGAGACGTAACTGAAATCACTTCTTGGAAAGGGATGCCTGGTAAGATGGCCTTCAGAAGAGGGACACAGCCAAACTGTGGTGACCTGGCAGGAAAGGAGCCAGAGAAGCAAATAATAGTTTCATTTTCCTTTCAATCTCCAATCTCCTGCTAATGCTTCTCATTTGTTGAACCCAACCAAAACCAGAGGGCAAGGGGACCTATCTCACAGAGAGCAGAGTGGAAAAGAGTGGAGGGTGGATCCAGAGGGGTACACCGAAGCTATCCAGCACAGTAGGGCTCCACTCACAAGCAGCTAGATTAGGCGATTCAAGCATGTCTTCAGAACTCAGTCTTTTTGTCTCTCCACTCTGCTTTCCTTTGCTGGCTTCACTCTAATGCAGGCTCTTGCCATCTGCAGCACAGACAGCACCAGCAGCTCTAGGGTTGTGTCATTCTTACTTCACCATTTCAAATAAAATGAAAAGAGTAAATACATACATAGCACTTACTGTATGCCAGACGCTGTTTAAAGCCCTTTTAGATACATTAACTCAGTTAATCCTCAGAATAATCCTTTAAGGTAGCTACTGTATTATCCTCTCTTTAGCGATGAAGAGAATGACATATGACTGGTAAGTGGAAAAGGAAAAGCTAAGATTTAGATTCAGGTAGTCTAGCCCTAGAGTCTGTGCTTTTAACCACTGCACCATAGTGCTTTATGAAAAATAAACCCTATCTCCTACAGCATCCATATCACTTATCAAAAAGGATGCTGGGTCAGGCTCATCCCTGGATCAACTACCGGGCACTCTGCTTGCCAAACGGGGTCATATGTCCACCCCTACGGCAGGACCACACGATTGCTAGCAATTTCTCCCTAAAAAAGATGCCAGGCAGATATAAAAAGTAACAAATGTCCATCACAGGCAGTGTGAACGTTAAGAAATGACCCTAGGGACCAGAGCAACAATTCTAGTTCTGCCTACGTTTGCCACTAACCTCAAGCAAATTACTTATCACTTCATTTTCCGCAACGTGATTCTGATCCCATCAACCTCCAAATGTGTAGTGAGTACAGGCGGAAAGATAGGAATATCTCTAAACAAATATCTAATTATATCTAATTACAGATATAACACATTATACTAAAATATAGTAATAAAACTGAGATATGCCAAACTTGAGCAAATAACTTGTGAAATGAGTTTTTCAGTCAACACTATCTCTGAAAATTCCCTTAGAAATAACTTCCTTCTAAAAAATATGATGTAAAATGAATGAAACCTTCTTTAATCAAGTGGTCTGACAGACATTACACATGAATATTTCCTAAGAATAAACAAAGCACAATTATAAATTTATTGATTTTAGCAAAATAAAATGACATAAGTGGCTTCTTAAAAACTAATGGGTAAGTTTTCTTGTTTCCTTGTCTCCAGAGCATTTGGCATTCTTTATCAACTGGTACATAAAAGAGTAGAAAAATAAAAGATTGTCATATTGTCCTTTGTATTTCTCTTTTAATATATCAGTATGGTAGTCTACCAGAAAGTAGTAAATGGCTTCAATTGTGGAAAGGAAGGTATCTGGCTTTCCTTTTTGATGGCGCCAAAAGCAAGTTTTTCTTGTTTTCAACTCAACTTGTAATAACCCTGCCAAAAAAAAATAAGAAAAGTATAAATATTTCTTCTTGACCACAGGGTGTGGTACAATGATGATGATTTCTTGTAATTATGTTAAGGATATATTTTAAGACGGCAGATAAATTTCTTCAACCCCAATGCCAAATAGGATATCTTCTTAAATGCATTAAGGTGTATATATATATATATACACATATATATATACATATATATATATATACACATATA